TATGTGGGCTCTAATATTTTGACAAGCCTTGCATGAAAGGTTTTTCTTTTTCTCACCTGGAACATGGGGCTGAAGTATCAAACTGCCCGTGATGTCGCAAACGAAAAAGGATATCACCAGAACATCTCGGTGCTAATAGTCGCTGACAATATGAGAAATGCGGGGCATCTCTTAATGCCCAACCTCCAGCGAGCACTTGTCGCCTTTTCTCATGCTTTCGCTCGGCGTGGATTGTTGAAGCTTGCAAGATGCCAAAGCATTGCCAAATGTAGGAAGCTCCTCCCTGCCATTCTCGTCTTACATTTAGTCGTCGAGGCACACTCCAAGTTGGTACAAAAACATGTGATGGTCTACTGAATACACAGACACGATTCGGGCGATATGTTAGATATCGTCGTTAACGGAATGCGAATGGCTGGGAATGTCTTACAAATGTTCGACCTCTATGCATTGCCGAAGATAGGAAGCTAATGCTGGAGGCAGGGAACTGAGGTTTCTCCCAGCGTCCTCACCTCGTGAGCGACTTTTAAAAGTCGCAATGCTACACCATGCAATAAAGGTTTCTACGAAACCAAATGTGGTTGATCTTATCAAAAGCAGGTTATAAATCAAAATAAATTATATGAACTTGCTTCCGTCAACAACAAATGGTGCTGTGTATTCAAATTTACATAAAACAGTTTTTCCTAAGCAACCTTCGAAAAAAAAATTGCATTGAATAGTGCCGCTTTTTGACTGGAGTAAAAAGACCCATCTCTGTGTATAACTATTTAGACACTTTCAAACGAGCATACAGTAAGGAAACGAGGCAATGACTGTCTACCCTATACATGTCACCAGCGTCCTATACTTGTACTACGAGACCTCTTCCAGCACAATGGAAGATCATGATTTCTCGGAGAGGAAATACATGCTTGAATAAAGGAACAAACAAATCTGTGCCGCCTTTAACAATAAAACAAGATATAAAATATGCACTCACAGAACAGCCTGGTTTTAATTTCTTTATTGCTTATAACATTTCGGTGTCAACTGGATTGATTGCTACAATGCTGTTAGTCAATATTAGTGAAAAAAAAGGTGTGCTTGCATTGACCAAAGTGTGAACACTGTAAAAACATATCTCCAACAATATCCGGTCCCGCTGGGCAATGGTAGCAATACATGTACAAACATTCTCATATCTAGGTCAGTTGACAAGCTTCTGAAAACGCCAGACGCCTTTTTGTGGTGCGTCCGCTCAGTGGCACCTGCCACACTATGCACATTACCTGCAGTGGAAAGTGATTTTATTGTGGTTCTTATAGCTCTTGGGCACCTGTTTCCGCATTTAGCGGTGTCGCCGTCTATGTAACTACCTCGCTAAATTTAGCGGGAAATTGAATTGGTGTTGAGGTCACGTGACGTCAATTTTCCTGCCAAGTCTAGCGGAGAAACTGAATTTGTTCATGGGTGTTAGTCATCTAACGTCATTTTCACCCGCTAAATATGTGTTGGGTCACCTGACGTCAATTTCCCCGCCAAATTTAGCGGGGAAACATAACCCGCTAAATTGGGCAGGAAATTTAGTTAAAATTATCTGCTAAATTGGAGGGAAAGGAGAGGTAAACCCTCCCCTCCTCGTCAAGTGCTGCATTTTACTTTTGCATTACAGAGAATTGTAAACGTCTCATTTTTTTTTTTAACGCTGCTCTTCTGTGGAGCTTGTCAATCGATAGATCTGAGAACATTGGCGTGTACCGCCTGAACGGAGGCATCCGTTTTCCCAAGCACCGGTTTTGAAACCCTCCTTTTCTTGAATCCTTTCAAGAAGACACTCAGTTAAAGGGCAACTCCGGTCCATACTTTCGAGTTTGGGATTATGACTGTTTTTAGTGCAGTCAGCGTCCGTGAATTGCAAGGCGTAATTTTTTTCTCGTTATCGTGTGTGGTTTAAAGGATATCGACGCCCCAAAGTTTTGTTTGGGGCGCAGCCAACAAAACCGAAACTAGCCGCTCGAGGCCCAGGCAACACTGGAAATCAGCCGCTATGTGAATGTGACGCTAGCCATCTAAAGATAGGAAGTAAGCTGATTTTGTTTTAATTCTGTGTATGTGGTAGTTATCCAGCATATGTAGCAAGAGTTAGTGCGTATACCCAAAAGCTGGTGACTGGAAAACCCGTGAACTCGTACGATGCCGTACTCGGCAGCCGCCGCCGTGCGTGCGCTATGCTGTACCCGTCGCTTGTATACCCATAAGCTAGCAACTGCAAAACAAGTGAACTCGTTCGGTGCTGTACTCGGCGGCTATCACCGTGTGTGCGGTCTTCTGTACTCGTCGCTCTGCCTAAATTGTCATCGGGGCTCCTTGGATGGAGCGGCGTTGGTCTACGCCGCGCTGCCAGTGACGTACAGTACTGGGGGCCCTCTCGCTTTCGCGCGGCGGGTCAGTCCGAGAAGCAAAGCTTTGAGGCTCTCCGGCGTGGGCCGCGGCGCCTGAACACACATGTGCTGGGCTGTACGCGTCTGTTTTTTCGTTCTTTTTTTTTCCTCGGGCGTGTAAAAGCCGAAGTTCAAAGTCCACTTGCCGAACAGCGTTCACCCACACCTTCTCCGATTTCCGGTCTATTGGAAACTTGTGAAAAAGCACCTCCGTGCTGCGCAGCGGGTTGTTTGAGCATCCCACAGCGCTACAAGTTGCACTCGGCATCTTTCGAGGAACAGCTGGGCAGTCTTGGGCGCACCGATGCTTGCTAAAACGAGTTTTGGAGTCCTCGCAAGCAAATAAACTAAAGGCTACACCGATGCTACATGGGCTACAGATAAAAGCAACGGCTAAACACGCCAATCACAAGTCGAAGTAGCGGTGGTAGCGGCTCAGAGAAGTGCACTCCGCGCAACGCCTGGACCGGAGAAAAAAAAAAGAATGATACTGACGTCACGGCCCAATGTCGCTTTAGCGATCGGCAACCCGCTGGCCGCCCGCTAAGGAGCAGCGGCTCGTCGCATTTTTATTATCGGCATTAGCTGAGAATGCGGCGTCCCACGGATGCAATATTCTCGCTGAGGTCGTCTTTTGTGTCACTACAGCGATACCAGTAATTTATTTCATTTTGAGTTTTGGCCGGAGTTGCCCTTTAAGAGAAAATGGCGACAAACAACCTTTTAGCAAATTTGTTTTTAGAAATACGCAATTCACCGAACTTGGCTGCATGCTCTAGCATTTGATTGTTCCGCCTTTGCCAATGACGAAGCCGAGCCGGTCAGTCAGCAAGTCAGTCGCTTGGGCGGCCAGCATGTTCAGAGTATTATAGACAAGTTTTCGTGCATGTCACAACCCTGCTGTTTTCACAATAATAATTTTACGTCCTGCCTGGTTTACGGCCTAATAAAGAAGAGCGGGTGCTCAAAGCATAGGTCAACAAGCCTCACTGAATCGTGCGGTAGCCTTTAGCATCTTTCAGACGACGATCGAATGGAATGACTGAACGGCACTTTTCTACAACTGCTTGTTGTAGGTGCAGTACATTGTATTAGCTTAAAATAAAGGCACACAGCTAAAGCACCTCAGTGATGCCTAGCGGGTAGCGAAACAAATCTCTCTGTAACAAAGCGTGCGTGGTTACCGAGACATCACGTTATTCAGAGTGCAGATGCAGAGTATAACCACTGTACAGCTTTGTCTCCGTATTTGCATTATCTTCCAAGGTATTGTCCAGGTACAGGCGGCACTGCCGAGCAGACAAGCAAATAAATAAATATTTAACAAAGGGTACTATTCAGTTTCGTACCACCAAATAGTTGACAGCTGCCCGATGCTTTCCGGATATGCGAAAGCAAAACATTTCATCAACACAAGTGCTATCCGCCACCGCTTAGCCACGTGTTCTTTGCGAACATAACTGGGCTGCCTAACAATATTACAGAACGCCGCAAGTTAAATAATTGATTTCAAAACAAAAGCGGTTCTTGCAACTGCGCCACATAAAAAGAACAGTGCAGGTAGAGCTGCATGGTACAGCTGCAACGGAAAAAGAATAACACAAGTGATCGATGACCGGAGCGGCAAAATCGCGATACGCGGCGCTATTGTTCCCGAGCGCGCCGATAGCGAGAGTGCCAGTCACGTTCCATGTTTTAACGCGGGGGTGGCTATCAGAAAGCAGCCCATCCTAAAACCCGGATATCGAAAGCTATATTATCCCTCAATTTTCTGCCGGCCGCCCCCGCGTTGAGATATGGAACGTGACTGGCACTCTCGCTATCGGCGCGATCGGAAGCAATAGCGCCGCGTATCGCTATTTTGCCGCTCCGGTGATCGCTCACTTGTGCTACTCTTTTTCCGTTGCAGCTGTACCTACGTTTGTGGATATTTGCTAGCAAAATAGCAGGTATTGAAAGCAGGAAAATTAACCAGAACGTTTGATGGGTTTGGGAGGGAAAGAAACGTGGACAAAGGGCAAGCAGTTCAGAGACGACCCACCAAGCTAACGCTGTACAAAGAACAATCTGAACCTGAAATACTACTTTCTGTACAAACACAAGATACCCACGATATTACACGATAAATAGCCACCAAAATTAACGTACCAATTAGACAGTGCTGTTCGTAAGTCGCTTAAATCGCCGAAGTCGCGGAACGTTCACGATGCAAAACGGCCATCTTGGAAAAATCAAAATAGTGATGGTGATAGCGATGGGCCTTCTGTAAAAACTACGAGGACTTACTTGCTTTTTTTTCGTTTTCTTGTTTTAAATTAATGTTAAGGAACAGATAATCACCTTAGCAGAAACTTAATATTAAACAGGTTATATCTATCGTCTTTCCATCAAACTTTTTGGAGCTTTATCTTCTCAATAATTACCTTCTCGCATGTTTCACAGTAATCCGTGGCATGGATTCACCACACTATTTTTGTCAAGTGTGGCAAGAGGTATGCACCACCATCAGAAAAAAATATGAGAATTTATTTAATTACGACAGGAAGCCACGAAAGGGGAAGATGGCAAGACTCGATCCACCAAAAAGGAGTGGGCCTAAGAGTGCAGTCTTGGTCCATGATTCACGACGGTAACCTATGATGAATGCAGAGAACAAAGGAGTCCATCAGGTCAACAGGAACCAATATCTGACCCGAACATGCAAGGAAAACGCTCAGTTGGAAAACTCACTCTTGGAACCAGGACCGCTGGCGTCCACCGAGACCAAACTAAATACAATAACAGCGCCACCCTTCTGCGACGAATTAAAACATGCAAGTTGTTTTATTTAGCTACTGCAAAATGGCCCTGCGAGATGGCGCCACGTAGAGTTCCTGTATAGGCTCTTTACAGGAGCCATAGTTGCATGACTGTTTTCCACGCACCGCCGCACCGCTACTCACCGAGATGCGACCATGTGAGGAGCAGACTCAAATGCCGTGCACGAAAGTACACATTGCACGCACCCTGGCATACGTTCCCCTGCTTTTGAGCGCACCGTGCTGCCATTCGCCGGCTCCTTATACCGTGCAGGAAAGACGGCGCTACGGGGATGAACACGCAATTCTGGCTCCCGTAGGGAGCCTATACAGAAGAGTCAGCGCCACTGACTCTTCTGCGACTCGACGGAACCACTAAGTGTAGCCGTGTAGTTTCCTTAGTGGCTGATGTGGGAGAAATGGCGGCGTTGCAATAGACTTCTTCCAAACCGACGCGCCCCATCGCGGCGAAATACCACGCAGTGCCCTCTGGGAACTTGTTGGCCACTTAGTTTCGGTTTCTACTGAGCAGCTTCATCTCATGCTATCACGCCGCGACCGAATACACTGCTCATGTTTTCGATTATCTGAGTCTTTTTACGAATGTACAATACACTCATTCTCGAGCGATACAAAACGAAGACCGGGGCACTTTCCTTGGTTCCAGAAACACCGGATATTATGCGTGCGTATGCAAACGTAGTAAGACGTGGCTTAGTCACCTCACCCCACGAGTGCATCTTTGAGCTCAGTGTCAGTAATCCCGTCCAGTACCAGTGAACTACAACTGAAATTTGGTCACCTTGAGCCCTACACATATTTTGTTTGCCAAACGTACGCTTCTTGTTACTTCACTGGGCGAAAAGCAAGCCACATCCTCACAGGAGTATCAAAGTTAAGCCCAGCATTGGCGCATTAACTTTTAAGGAAACAATAAATTCAACCTTACTACTGCACAAAAGTTACTGTGATGTCTTCCTCATGTCATCACATATCTCACACTCAAATTTTATGCTGATAGAAGATTAAGTTTTCGCAAACGCTAAGATCGGCTAGCTACGACGGAGGCCCTAACAAGCGTCCCCAACTCCTCCTCAGCCTTTTTGGACGAGCTTTTACTGACGCCCAAGATCTGTGCCTGAATGGTGCGTCTGAAATTATCTCGGCATACTCAGTCAGAAAGAAAGCAAACACATAACAAATATTATGGCCATTAGCAACCGTCAAATGCACTTTGAATAATTTTGTTCGTTCAACACACCGCAGAATTCATGCCTGTCCAGTGCACTTCCAGCGAACGGTGCGACATTGTTCACACAAGTGCTCGACTTCTGCTTTCTTTTTTTGTATGTGCGAATGTACCTATATTATTGCAGGATAACTTTATGCGCATACGTGATGTTGAATATTAGTGGAAGCCAAGCGGGTGGGGACTTCACTTTGTGCAGTGCTGCGGGGCAGTACAGATAAGAGATGAGAAGTGTGTTCGAATGGAGCTTTTCAATGGCACGTCAGAGTTTTACTTCGCATACTCAGGCGTATTAAGAAAAACAGTAATTGCAAAAAGTTATATTTCGTCTATGGACGCACGAAAAAAAAAAAAAACCCAAAAAACTTCTTGATCAGCAACACTAATGTAAAGGCGCGAGCTCGATGTATGCATACTTATTGGTTGCTACAGCTTGTTGATTCGTACACAAGCAAGATCCCTGAGCTTCGCAGCGTCGACATTCCCAGCACTGGCTCGTCCACATACCTCGAACCGCTAACAAAAAGGCTCAAGTACAAAAATACAACAAGCATGCGTTAAGACAAGCTATCCTTCTCGGGCTTGCACTAAAGATTCGAGGTCTGGCCATTTAGGTTAGTTTAGAGACCACAAATGACGCTCTCGATACCAGAAAATATGAGATAACGGTCGTTTATGGTCCACGCTCTGTGTATCTCTTGTCGACGTGTCAATCGAAACCAAAACCATGCCACTCTCCTCCCTGGCTAACTACTTCCCAGAGTGCAACGCGCGCCGTGTTGCATGCAGGAATTTATGGAAGTAGTCTATTGCATTTAGTTCGGTTCTCGAGTATGGATGGAAGCCACTAATCATTTCTTCCTAACAAAAGCTGGCATATGTAGATTTTTCACTGAAAAAAGTTAACCTTGGGGGCTTAGTCCCCCATCCTTAAAATCTGCCCATGATGCATGTGCCAAGAAAATGAGGGAGAAGAGTGGAAGAGAGCACGCAAGGACGTCAGGACACCCGAGCTCTGGTTAGGGGGATTGGTGGGTACACCTAAAGCTAGGTGCCTTTGTCTCCACTGCACTTGTCGAGGACGTTTCAATGCGAGAGCCAAACACTGGACGCCCGCGTTCTGCAGTCGAACGTGTTCAACGAGTGCAGCAGAAACAAAGGCTGCCTTTATCTCCACTGCACTCGTCAAACGCATTCGAATGTGAATGCGAAACGCTGGACACCGACGTTCTGCATGTGCAGTACAGACAAGGGCAGTTAGCTTTAGGTCTACCCACTAATCGCTCCAATCGGAGCTCTGCGTTTTGACATTTCTGCACTCTCATCCCCTCCTCTCTCTCAATTTCTCGGCACATAGAGTTCTGGAAGTTTAACAACAGTGGCTAGCGAAAAATCCAACAGACATGACATCCACAAAAAAAAATAAGCAGCTTTCTTTGGGATTTTTTTGAAGGTGTTCTAAAATGCACTGAGAACTCCAAGTCGAGTTATTCCGTTCGGAGCTGAGGGAGTTGATACTGAACGCACCATCCCCACTACTGCAAGGGAGGTCACGTGGAAATATTGTGTCCCTGAACTGCTCCTGCCGCTTCAAACACCTTAGAGTTGTCGGAGCTGCTCATCGGTTTCAAGTCGTACCCAAAACCAGCAATGCGTGTTGACCCAAAACCAGCAATGCGTGTTGCTGTGAAGGGGGGAATAACTCATCAGCTGCCCAAAAACTATATGAGTAACTTATCCCATGAGTAGCGGGCCTTATAGCAAGCTCGTTTCAAATGCACTGGCATTATGCGAGTCATCTCATAGAGTGCACCGCACTCGCGGAGTGCCGCACAAAGAACCGGTCTCAAACTAACTTACCGAGTGCAGCCTGATGCTGTCACCATCTGCATTGTAGTAAGAGTGCAGACCTCAAACTGAAATTAGCGCTACGCTGTTCGACATGACGGGCAGGAATGCGATTGAGAGTTGCTGCAACGTGTAGTTTATATCTGTGATGACTTCAAACAGCACGGCTGTAAGAGATATTTACAGATGGCATTAGTTCCTGTAACCTGCTCAGTACAAAACAGCTGTAACTTTTTGTTAAACAATACACTGGAAAAAACTGCGCAAAAGCTTGATCAGAGCAAACGCAAGAAATTTAAAGGCTAGGCACGCCTTGCGGAACACAAGGATGCCCACACGACTCTTTCTCTGAAGCGTGCTCCTTCTGTACGAACATCCCAAGTTAATTTTAGGGTTAGAATATTTTTTGCCAGTTTCACGCTCTTTTGGATGGGTGCGAGGCGGGCTCACTCTTGTCGTAAAGCGGTACTCGGTCTTGTTGACTGATATTGCCGTTTCGTTTGACACTGCGATGTGCAACACTCTCGAAGCTAGCTAGCTGTAGGGCACGTTTCATTCTTGATTATCGCCGCTTGTCCAGAAAGCTCTGTGACACTTTGTCGCTGCCAGATGACACTGTGCTCAACGTGCCGTTGCGCCCAACGGACAGGCCACGTGGCACACTTTCGGTACTGGATTGGCTTCGATGGCTCGCAGCATTCAGAGTAAAGTGCGGTATTGCATTTTGCGCTCTAGTAACTCACCACTGCCGAGCTGCTACGCCAGAAGCGCTCAGCAGACCCCACCAACTCACCTCTACGTTGACAGGGCGGTAGGAGCCATGTGGTTGGTGGGCCAAGCTTTTATTGCCTCATGTCCGACCTGCACATCTGTATGAGAAAGGGGCATGATAAGTGATGCAAGACTGACAATCGGCTGGTTCACCGAGCATGTAGCCTCCAGTGCCCTGTCAGTTAAGGGGTGAATGAAGTCTAAAGTTGGTATATAACAGCCGTCTACTGTCCCACTCTCAGGCACGCCACCCATGACCAGTCCAGTCGTTGATCTTTAAAGGGGTTATGACACGAAAATTAAACGGATAGACTATTCTTGAAATGGAATGCTCATAGGCTACTTAGTATATACACCAAGTTACGCAATTTTTAGAGCTCTGATAATTGCAATATTCAATTTACGAATTTTTATAATTTTCATCTGGCGACCAGGCAACACTGCTCAACTTAGTCACACCATGGTGTCCATAAACCATGCGACCATGAACACTCTCTCATTCTAGGCACCCCCATGATCGCCCAAGCTCTTCTCGTCGCGGTACGACGCTCAAACAGCTCGGTAAACTGAAAGCTATTCTCGCTCTCGCCCCCCGGCCGGTTGACCTTCCACCCTGCATGCGCCTGCGAGACATTCCCGGACGACGGTGACCACGGCGAACTCGTCGTCCCTGGAGCTCGTCGCCAGCGGGTCGCAGTCAAAATGAACAGCTTCCAACATCTCTTGATAGCAATCACTCTCATCGCTGCTTCGATCAATGTTGAACACTTCGACAAGGCGATCGATGCCGTAGACGTAATCGTCACAGACCGGATGCTGGAAACGTGGAAGGTAAACGAGGAAGCTGAGGCTCGATACGCCAAGAGAGCCAAGTCTGTGAGTGTGTGCAAGTAGACACCACGCTGGAGGCTGGCTACGTCATCAGCCTCCAGGTCCGCCCGGATCTGAGGGGCCCGCATATAAATCGATTTATCCACGAAATTATCGCGCCTTTTTCAAAACAAATTTAGCAGGATTATAGGAACATACAATGGGTCCTAGCAGTATAGTTATGTAACATTTTATTTTTGGCATGTCATAACCCCTTTAAGCAAGGTTAAGCAATGACTGCCTTGTGCCACCACACATGAAGGTGTCCACGGAACAAAGCCGCATTGGTCCTGCCATAACCCACACCTTGTCGAGGTAGAAAACTTTCGGGCCCTTTATTTCCTGTGTTGTACAATACCCCAAGAGGTACCTCTGTTAAAACGGGACTATTTTGACCCCCTCGGTCAGAAGCGAGGCCCCTTGCGGCCATTCAGCGCCGTCTACTCATTCATAGATGTTGCTCCTTTCGACAAAATGTCTGTGGCGACAGCTGGAGCTAGTGAAAAAGCGGACACCATAGCTCTTCCCAAAGCACCCTGTTCTTCCTCAAGAGCGGCTAGTTTATCCAGGAACAGTGCAATGGTGCTTGGTGGTCTATGATCGCAGACCACCGGTCATAGCCGCACCAACGGCGGCGGCGGCGCCCCCCCCCCCCCCCCAACTGACGTCACTCAGGTGACAAGCATTTCACTCACGTGACGTGACTCCAAGCCATACTCACTATGGCTGGCGACAACGCATAAAAGGCATGCGCTGGCCCTTTGACCCATGCGGAGTGCAGTGCAGGAAGTGGAACGGCATCGGTGACCCAGTCGCTGCAGTTACCCAGAACTGTTTGACTGCTGTCTCGGCGAAGGTGCAGGCCCGCTGTTTGATGCACGTAGGTAGAAGCCATCAGCCGCAAGCATCGGACACCTGGGGTGGAAAATTTTGCACCCAACAAAACAATAACCATGAGAAGAGTGGTCTAGCCAGTGAATTGCAAAAACATAAAAAGCAGGCACATAAAGAAGTATTTCTGTTACCTTGTCTTGCAAAAACACAAAAAGCAGGCACATATAAAATTATTTCTGTTACCTCGTCTCATGCTCAAGCATTATTTTGGATAGTATACATCAATAATGCCTGTCTCGCAGTGGCTTTCTGAACAAAATGTAGTAGAAAATACAACCAGTTGAATACCAAAGGAGAAGTAGAACAGAGAGGCACTAATTTGTTGTCACTTTAACATGCACACTATGGAAGAGCACAACTCTTCGCCATTAACCTGTAGCAGAATCGCTTAGCAGTTCTGCTGCAGGTGTGAATGTACCACGAGGCAGAATACAGTATTTGTGCAGAAAACACCATCGCAGGCCTACCAGGACGAACAGCAACATATTTACCCGCCACAAATTCAACGCGCCGTGAGGGCCATTCGCGAAGCCTGATCTGTTTGTAAATCCCGTCTTTCGACAGAACGCTTTTGTGACTGCACGAGCTCGTCAAAAGCTGACATTCCCAACAATGCAAGTATGGCACGCGAAGAGCCCTCTCCAGGCGCTTGAGACCGGCCTACCAGAAGTAAGCAGCCCATGGGCGCGTTCAGTAGCGCCTCCCTTGCCCCCGAAGGGAGTGCCTCGAGTTGGAGTCATCGGAGCGCCTACTGAACGGCAAAAAAACCCGCGGCTCCAAACCTGCTTCTACGCAACTTCCGCTTCCTCCCCTGCGCCAGACGGTCTCCGAATAAACTGGTAGCAGACGATGGCGAGCACGATCGCTTTTATTTGACCCCGGTATTGAAGAAGTCTTTACAAGGTCGTTGAAGAACAAGCGGGTGATTGTACACATCAGCGCTGCTGTTCGAAGCGATGCAACGCGATCGAGCCCTTCGCTTGGCGGTGCAAAGGCAGCTACTGTTATAAAAGCCGACAAAAAACGTCGTCAGCACACGCAAAATACAGAGCTCAGCGAATCTACCCCGCCGGTTGCGATACTTTTATACGGCCATAAGTTTGTTCTGCCCTTCGTAACGAACTTCCTATAAAATGTATTCGTATACACACGGGAAGTTCGGCCGCGCTCGGCGATCAAGGTTTTGTCGGCCGAAGCGAGCCTCAGCCAACGTGCACCCCGATTTAGCTACGCAAACAAAACATTAATCGGTATCATGCTCTGCGTGAGTGTCCAACCGGCTTCCAAAGTCGCGTTCATACCCTGTTTTGCTCTGTTGAGCGCGGACAGGACTATCGTCAATTACCGAGTTTCCGTGCAACGGTGATCAAGACACAGCGTCAAATGAACGTTTGCGTTGTTTATTAGCATATTCAAACCAAACAAAATACTGTCCAATGCATTTTCCAAAAGAGCCTTACCTGAAAAAGATATTCGAACGCGTTATTCGTCTTACCTAGAGCACTTTTCATTAACAAAAGCGAGCAAACTGCACACCCGCGACAGAACCGAAGCAGCTTATCCCGCCATTTTGTTTGTTTTTGTTCTCTTTTAGCGCCGGAAATCGTCACCAGTCAGGAAATGACGTCATTTTAGCTCCTTTGACTCTACGCGCACCGTCTCCGGACTCGGTGCTTCGGAGCTTGACTCCGAAGCCCCGGAGTTACGTGCACCGGAAGTGACTTTTGGCCGTCCAGTGGAAGGAGTCAGTGACTCCTTGACTCCGGGGCCGCTACTGAACGCGCCCCATGGCAGCACCGCGAAGACCATCACCGCGAAGATTGCTGCTGGGCCTAACACACCATAACTTTCATCTGTACATTACATCATCACGTAATCACCATCACTAGACACGGCACCGCGGGCCTCCTTGGTACGGGCTCTTGCCTTTCTGCGGTGCCGCGGCTCTCCTGAGCAAATAAAACATTACATTACATTACATGCAAATGCGGTGCAGGCGGCACTTGGGAGCCACATGCCACTCCCGTTGATTATCTCTATTATCTTCTTCTTTGTCCCCGACGCTACGTGAGGTAGCCAAGCGCTATCAAATTCCACCACAGCGGTGTTGAATCGACGATCGAACGCCACTAGTAGGTAAATTCCACTCACCTTTTACTTTCCGAGCAAGCGTCCCACGGGCCTCCATGTGGCGAGACGGGGCCTGTTACTGGCTTGCATGAATGCGCTGAATGCGCTGTGGACTTCACTGCCGACGCTCGTTCCCAAGCATTGAATATCACGACCAACTCCACTCGGCAATACCGCCGCACATAACACGACATTGTATAATACAAGAAAGACCGCTGGAACCACTGACCGCTCCGAAAAGCGCCCAACAAACACTTGGAGAAACAAAAAGTAAAAACGAAAAGTAAAATTAGAAGAAGCAAAAACAAACAAAACAAAAATTTTCGTCACTTCCGGTTTGTGTTGTTTTGCTTTTTCTCTCAGCCAATAGGCGTTGCAACCTTACTGCGGCGAAACGCTCGTCCGCAGTAGCGGTAGTCTGGCAACTATGGTCAGCGGGCAACATTGGTCGGCGAATTTGGGTACGCCAGACGGAGGAAAGCCGAAAAAAAGTTAATCGCATTATTCGTCAGCAGCTTAAACAAAGCGCGAACAGAAAGGTAAGAAACGCCACTAACCTGTATGGACGCACAAGTCGCACCTGTAGCCTGGTCGCGCAGTACTCCGCCTCGTACGGCCGTACGGCTTCGAAGCAGTGTTGCCAGATGGTCCAAACAAAAAACCGCCAAACGGCTGGGAGGTATAGCCCAAATATAGCCAAAGCCATAAAATACATATAGCCCAAAATAGCCAAGACTAAAAACGACGATTTTTAAGCCTCTTATTGACAATTTTTCGTACGCGCAAAAAACAACACGTTAATTCTCTTTTTCAACCCTCAGATGTGCCACTTTTTGTGTACTAGGTCTCCTGATATATATATAAAAAAAAGCTTCAGAAGGATGAAAATTTGTGAAACAATTACCCATCCTTCGTAGGTTTTCAGAAATAGAAAACATACATGGACAGCTGTATTGTGAAGCCTGGGACATATAATCATACAGTAAAAGAACAGAATGTAGAAGCAGAACAGGCAGAACTGGCAGTTTTAAACTAGCACCCCCTATATGTAAGGTTCTTACAAATAACCCAACCGTCTATTTTTCATTGTGTAGAATATGAGCGTCCCCCGTTCCAGTTCAAGCTATTTTTGATTGGGTTTCTTTTCTTAAAGTTGGCGATGCCTAAGAATTTTCGCAATGGGCACCAAAGCTGCGTTTGGAGA